GCAACCTTATCAATATGAGTGTATTTTGTGGTCTTATCGGTCACCGTGAGCGAACAATCGTTATCAGAGAGTGGTATTGACTGACAGCAATACGCATTTGCGCAATGATGCAGCTGTGAATCAGGAATTTCCAATTGTTTCCATCTCGAAAGTACAAACAAAATTCGTTCTATGGTTTTCGAGGCCTCAAGAAGAGTCGAGTCATTCCGTGTTTAAAATAAAAATTTTACTTGGAAGGCAAAATCACGAGAAAATTCGATAAATTGAGGCTAAAAAATCGAAATTTCGAATTCAGAACAGGAAATACTATCGAAAAATTTTATCGCTGCTGTCAACATTTCAAGCGTTCATGGCCACGATCATCATCACATAATTTTCATCTTGATTATATGATGGTGCTTGCATCCGCAGTCATCAGCAATAAATACTCCACCTGCATTGAATTTGACCTGTTGAATTGTCGAGTGTTTCTGCTAAAATACGGTGCAGTTTCCGACGCAGGAATTTCTTACCAAGACGTTGCTGCTTCTTTTTTCTTCGTGAAAAGTTGTCTACATTCCAAAGAGATTACGAGTGCTAAATTTCGAATTGTTGGCGAAAGCAGGTTTTAGCTCTTATCTCGGATGTATTGAAAATGCAGCGAATGAAAAGCATGGGTTCTGAATGTAACGAATTTCTGGGATCAATCAAATCGACTTGGTCATCCATACGACTTCGATAGCTGTCGAGCTGAATTACTCTCACCACTTGACAAAGAACGAATTTCTGGAACTGTTCTTACGAAAAAATCAATTAGAATTTTGCTGATTGATTCTCGCGACAATTTTGCTACGCAGATACATATTTCAATGATCAAATCTAGCTCTAGGGACCATAGTTACGGCGAAACTGCAAGCAATATGGAATGAATATTGGATAAAACATGAAATACTTGCGAACTTCGCGTTTGAATGTACGATTGCATGGAAGACCCCTAAACTGTTTTAGTGTTTCGGAGCACTGGCAACACTATGGCTGGGATCCGAGGAGGCTATATTGCAAGCTGGGCTCAATATCGTCCAGGTGATCAAATTCACACTTTTTGATGCTGAAATTCGTTTTTATTATTTAGTAGTTGCTTTCAGTGGATTCGAGCACTTCACTTCTCACTATATTTCATTCCGCAAAGCGCAGACTGATGCAGGAGCAGATTAGCCTATATGGCTTAGATGTACCACAAAGTCAGTATTGTTACAATAAGAGAAATATGACAACATACGAAATATATCACATGATTCGGTTGAGCAAAGTAGGAGCGCGGTCTGAAATATCTTCTCACTAGAATTATTTTTTGGGTGTTTGTGAGCGTGGAACCCCTTTCGTATTTTTGTGTTCGTTCTAAGAAATTTAAATGGGGTGATTTAATATGTACTTTTGGTACTTCATCTATAATGCGTCGAAATTCGGATGTCAAACCACCTATTTAATGATTTCACAATTCTTATATGATGCCGTTGCACTTGTCATGAGCTGTTTGCAGGGATCACTCTCTGATCTCGTGCAAAATTATGATCCCATTTATAACACCTTCGCATTAATTATAATTTCATATCATTATTGCTTTTCAAACAAATCTGGAAAAAAAATTAGGAAGTGTGCTCGATTACAGGATAACTTGATTTTATTAACGCTTTTAAGGTCGCGGCAGGTTCACACCAGAGGACTACAAACCTGGCCTGTGCACACATCTATTCTACGCTTTTGCTGGATTTGGTGACGACTACATAGTGAAGTCCGAAATTCTATTCTTCAGTTTCGCCTTACTCGACTTTAGTCGAAAACATTTGATTCTCCAGTGAACTTATGGTGGACCGAGTGATTCATATGAACAATTGTATATCACCATTAAAAACACAAAAATAACGTAGAGGGACTAATAAATGGGGATAATAAAGAGATGTTGTGTTTCAAGGGCACAAGATCCGAGCGATGCAGTACCAGGAACTGGAGGTTTTGCGCTCGTAAATAGTTTGAAGAATAGAGATCCTGGACTCAAAACATTAATTTCGATTGGCGGATGGTCATTTGGTAAAGAAAAATTCAAGGTTTGCCACTCTCTTGTTGTACCACACTGAAAATGTGATTTGTGTCGCCAGCCCGAATTAGTTACAACGGACAAATTGAATTAACACGGTAACGCTCTAGATAAATGCCATTTTTCGATAAATGCCGGCTTACAACGTTCCATC